AGGACAGAGGACAACTGGACTGTCCTCTATGATGGCCACCCCAGGCTGTGCCCCACACTGCGTGCAGAAGGAGGAGGAAGCCATTGGGATCAGGGGGAGGACTGCGGCAAAGGGGCTGGCGAGTGCCAGCTCGGGCCCTGGTGCAGGAGACGACGGGGCAGGCAGTGACAGCTGAGGCAGCAGCAGGCTGGCTGTGAAGCATTGCTTGTATCCTCTCCCCCCTCCCACCCCTCCCTGAAGCCAATCTCCAGCCCGTCAGTGCCTGCCCAGCCTTTGGGACCGTTCCTGGCTGCCCAGACCTGCTCCAGCAGCTTCCAGCTACCCCTTGCCCTTTCCCTTTGAGTGGCGAGTGAAGCTGTGTCCTTGTTTGAAGCTCGGCTCCCGCAGACAGCACTGTTGCTCCACCCCTGCGTGACCCCAGCAGCTGTGCTCTTGTCTGGAGACTGATAAGAGCTTTTCCTAACTCCTTTCACTCAGCAACTTAAAAGCCAGCCCAGGCTCTTTGCTTTGCCAGGGGCCGTGCTACCTCCCCAGAGAAAAGGCTGCTGGCTATTAGTGCCCCCGCAGCCAGCATGGTGTTGGATTAGCAGAGCCACCCCCAAGATGGGCCTTTCTCAAGTGCAAATGGGCTCATTTACAACATCGCAGACAGAAAAGCCCAGTTCCCCTTCCCACTCTGCTAGCTGCTCCCCAGCACCCGCCTCAGGGCTTTGGCCAGTACTCCCCAGGTGTCTCAGACCATGGGAGTTGTTCTCCATCTCCAAGAGGGCTGCTGCCCAAGCTAATGCCTCTCATGTGCCCAGAGCTGTGCCTCCTGTCTAAGGGTCCATTTTGCCTCTCACTGTGGTGTAAATCAGCTACTGATTTACACTGTGGTGTAAATCAGCTACTGGTAAATCAGCACCATTGAAGTCCAGGGGAGTTTTGGCCAAAGATGTTGTTGCCTTACAGGGAGTGGATACTCAACATGTTCAGTCCTAGGCGTCAGCGGTTTGCTCTGGAGAAGTGGAGTGAGAGCACAGCCCTGAGCATGAGCTCCAGAGGCAATGCTCAAGTCTGGCGTCAGGTCCCTTCAGAGGGGGCCCAAAGGCAGGTTTCTCTGGTGTAGGTAGCATGTGCCCTCTAGCAGTGCCAGTCTCACTCTGAAGTGGTTGTTTGTTCAATGCAGACCAGCTCCCCGTGCCATATTCATGAGTACTCTGGACAGCCAGCTTCAAAGAGCTTCTTGCTACAGAGTAAATTTACTGAACGGTCAAAGCCAGAGGAAGTTATCCCAGAGTAGGCATGTTGTGTGCCTGGCTCAGAGAGGGATATTCCCTGGTCCATATGGATATAGCTTCCTGTACTAATGCAAAGCCAAAGCCCCAGCTCAGTTACCCCTGATTTACCTATGACTAGAGCCCAATCTTTGCTGCAGCCAGAGGACATAGTCTGGGCATCCCAAAGTGAGGTTTGAACTTGCTCACTTCAGGACTGGTAGCAGCAGAGCCTCAATAGTGTAGACTTCAGTACAGGCCACACTCTGGGCACTGACTTGGCCCCTGAGTCCCCTGCCACCACATCCTCACTGCCTATGCAATGCCTCTGGAATTTAGTGCCTAATCAGAGCAATGAAAGCGTGTGATCCTGTGGGAAGCCATGATACGAAAGCACAAGTCGTGCTCTTTAAAGCTTGTTGATGGAAAAGAGCAAGTGGTGGTAGAAGCAAACCAATCCCAGTTCTAGCCTGCTCACGGCAACTGGTAGTAGAAAGGCCAACTGGTAGCAGCAGGGCTCAGCCATATTGTGTGAGGATGCCCACTGATTTATCAATCAGGGAAGATATTTTAGGCCTACTTTCTTTCCAGCAAAGCACATTTCTACCAGGTATAATTTGGAACAAGTCTTGAATGGCTTGCTATGAGAGACTGAGGTGGAAAAACCAGAACAAGGAAGGACAAAAGTAAAATCTCCGCAAGAGAAGGAAAGCGCAGGGTGCGTCTCCCCTACTACAATCTGCAGGAAGCAGAACACAATAGCAGTGACTTTCAGCATTTTAGAGCATTTATAGAGGTTACGTATAATAAAGGCATAATGCACATAAAAGAAACTCCCAGGACATACAGCTACATACCATTCAGGAGCATCCAGAAAATGGTATCTGGATTGTTACTATGTAGGCGACTCTGTTTCCTTTGATCTTGAGATTTAATTTTTGATTGATGCCAGAGGAAAATTGTTTAAAAATGGGACTTTTTAACTAGACATGTGCTGCACGTGAACTATCAATTGTGTCAGCTAAAGATACGATATATGATCCGGGGGAGTTGTCAGGTTATTATTGGTGTGTGGGTGTGTTGAGGCTGCCTGTGTATTAATAATGTGTCTGCTATAAAATGTATCCATAAACCAAAAGCTGTAACTAAGATCTACTGTGCCTTAGAAGGACTGTGTGGTCCAGTGGATAAAGCCAAGAAACCCGGGTTCCAACCTTAGCTTTGCCACCGATCACCTGTGTGATCTTGGTCAAGTCATTTTTCCTCGCTTTACCTCTGTTTTCCCTCTCACCTTCTGCTCTATGTAGCTCATAAGCTTCTGTAGGCTAGGAGCTGTCTCTTCATATGCATTTTTTTAGCTCCCAACTCAATGGAGCCTGTAGGCCAGTGTCATTGGTGACCACACTTACAAGTGTGACCTCATTTGTGGGGCTAACCCTCAGTTTGGGAACTGCTGCTAGAGGTGCTGCCATGTAAGAGCATCATCATCATCCTGTGCCGTGGGTGTAATAATACTTGCACATCTCATCAAGTTTTGCAAAGCCTAATTAGCATCTCCTAGGTGTGTTGATCTCAATGGATGACAGGTGCTACAGGAGAGAGGGAATGACTGATTAATTACTCCGCTCCCTTAGAGAACAGTGGTTCTCAGGCATCCCATCCAGCAATGCTGCTCAGGCATCCCATCCAGCAACGCTGCGTGTCATGACAAGATCTCAGCTCAGGCTAAATACAGACCTAGTGGGACATTCCCTTCTGAGATCAACCCCCACTCAAACTCACACCCCCTCCGCCAGCCAACTCTACATGCTCCCTTCAGGGCTCCACGGCTGCGCTCGTGCAAAGCGAGACATCCAAAGCAGAGCTGAAATCCCTCTCAGCCTGAAGCCTCCCCATGATGCCCAAACTCAGCACGATAAATATTTGAAGACCCTGGGGCTTTGTACCAGGCTGCTCCTCTACAACTGCCAGACGCTTGTAGTTGTAATGTCAAGTTGTTTGTGGAACGCATTGTGGGTAAAAGCTGCATGGCTGGGAACTAAGGCAGTGGAGCTGGGACAATGCCAGTGCTAGGACGGGAAATCAGGGTGGGCCTGTGCTAGGGGTGGATGGGCAACGATCAGAGGGCTCTTGTTGCAGCCCAGCCTGGTAACAAGGTTATGTAGAGCACACTTTCAAGGAGGTCCAGGTTTGGGCAGGTTGGGCATGTCTTCCACCACCAACATGTAGGCCCCTGGATCTGAGAACGTCTGTTAGGCTCACAGGAGAGCAGAGGGCCTGGGGGTGGGAGGGAGCGGATGCTGTGTTCCCCGGGGGTGCTGGTCAGTGGGAAGCAGGTGTCATTCTGCCTCGGTGGCATATTCTGGAGCCAAGGTTTAGATCCAGCCCCAGTTCTAGGGTGCTCCGATCTGGGGGTTCCTGCGCTTTGAAATTCAGACCTGAGCATCCACACCGCCTGGGTTTCTGAGACAGGGCAGATGGACCAGACCGCTGAGTTTTCACCGTGACTGTGGACTTGTCCCTTGACCAAACTGCCCCTCCAGGCCGAGCAGAAATGGCCCTGTGTGCACATGAAGGTGGCAGGGAGGAAGAATGGGTGCCCTGGGCTCTGGCACAGGGGGCTCCCTGGCAGGTCAAAGCTCACCAGCAAGTGGCTGCGTGGGGGGGCTGAGGTTGCCAGCAAGGTGTGGAGAAGGGGGATTGTGGGAAGAGGCAGAGAAGAGGGACGTTAGCTCTTGACCAGGTGCTTCCATGTGTCTCTGGGTCTAGCTACTAACACACTTTGTTCTCTCTCTGTTTTCAGTTAAAAAAGCCAAGTTTGATGGGCCCCAAGGTGAGTAGCTCCCTTATCTCCCCTGTCAAGTGCATGATGCAGAATGGGTTTCTCCCACCCAGCCCAGGCTCCTGTCTAGGGGCTTGGTTTTCCTGGCCACCTTGCTCTGGTCCTTTGAGAAGGAGTGCCTGGGGCCATCTTTAGGTTTGCTATAGCAAAAGGCAGCTGCAGGCAGTCCAGGGAGAGCCTAGTGCCTCTGGGAATAGGTTTGAGGGGAGCCCCAGCTGGGTGGGAAGAGTCCACGGGGGCTCTCCAGGCTGGGGCAGGCAGTGTGTGCTGCCCTGCTTTGTTGTGTGTATGGGGAGGGGGCTTTCACCTCCGGTCACCTCTGCCCCTTTCCCTGCAGAGAAGTTCAACACCTACGTGACGCTGAAGGTGCAGAATGTCAAGAGCACGACCATTGCCGTGCGCGGGAACCTGCCGTGCTGGGAGCAGGACTTCATGTTGTGAGTGCTTCCCACCACCCAGGGGGCTGCAGGGCAGGCGGGCAGGGCCAGGCTCTGTCTCCTGGGGCGGAGGGTGTCTCTGAGAAGCCCCACAGGTCACATAAGCTTCACAGCGAGTGTGGGCTGGGAACAGGCTGAACAGACTGGGATGTCAGGGGCCTGTGTCCTGGATCTCCCCAGGGCTCAGGCAGAGCCAGAGTATTCAAGGGTACTGTTCCTTGTATCGAAGGGTCCCTGCTCAGGTCCCTGCACTGTGGCCAGGGGCTGGACCCATATCCCCCTGTGTGACACCGTATGGTATCCCCCTGGTCCATGCTGAGCAGGCAGGTTGACAGCCTTCCTTCCTCCTGCTGGCACTACTGTCTCACGGGCCCTAGCAGAGGCTTCATGAGGGGTGCCTGAGGGGCTGGGATGTCTCTAAGCCCCCCCAGAGGCACTTAAAGGGCTTCGACCTGCAGTGACAGGGCCATCACACCTCCCAGCCATGGCGCCTGTCACTGGGTAGAGAGAGGAGTGAGGCTTTGCCAAGGCATCAGGGCATCCCTAGCCCTCAGTCTTGCCAGGTACCAGGCAGACCCAAGGTCGCTGTACTCCGCCTGGCTGAGACACCCTGCTGCCACTGGGGGTGGGGGAGCAAGGGGGGGGCCTGGTGGATGCTGGTTTTGCAGAGGGAGCCCTGGGGACTGGAATGGAGGGGTAGGGGGACAGGTATCCTCCATACTATGGTAGAGAAAATTGCTGCCACCCAGCCCAAGAGGGACCAGGGCCAGGCAGAGAGGTGGGTCCCAAGGAACAAGGGACCTCTTGATTCCCAAGACAAGGTCCTGGAGGACTCCAGCTGGCAGGGTGGGAGACAGTGGAGCATGGGGACAGCGCACTGCAGGGGCAGGAGTTTGCATCTCCCAGTTGCTGCCCCTATCTGCCCAGAGCACGCAATGCTGGCAAGATGGGTGGGGGTCAAACCCGGAAGCCCCGGCCTACAGCAGAACTGCCGCAGCTATAAATCATGTAGCTCAGTTGATGCCACCACTCTGGCCCGAGTGCTCCGCTGCGAGATTTAAGTGACAAGTGACGAGTCATTTGAGGCTCCAAATTTGTCTGCGCTTAAAATGGATGTCATCTGCCAGAGGAAGGCTCCTGCATCCTACGCCCCTGCGAGGGGAACGCGCGAGCAGCGTGCGAAATTCACAGCTCAGAGACAGAGCGATAGAGGCGCCGCTGCCCCCCCCCGGGCTGGGGCCGGCTCCGAGACTGGTCTTTTAGCCACAAATAAGCACAAACACAATTCCCAGCACCAAGCTCCAGCCAGGGGGACCCTCCCATCAGGCTGGTCTGTCCTGTTCTTCCTGGAGCCCGGCACAAATGGGAGCGTGGGTGTCAGGGGAGCTCCAAGATGCTCCAGTCCTGGCTTGCTCTGACTGCTGTGCAGGCGCTATTTTTTTTTAAATTTCATGCCTCAGGCCGAATCAGCCAAATCAGTTTTAAATTCTATCAACTGAGCAGAGCTCAATTGTTCACATCTGTGGCGTGATCCCTGGCAAGTCTTCTCCTCCCAGACTCTTCAGTCTGGGGGTTCAGATACTCCCAAATCCATGACGCATCCTATGTGCAGGTCCCAATCCCAAAGGCCTTGGGGTTCATGCCCTGCAGTCTCGCTTGCCCCTAGCCAAAAAGCCAAAGGATCAAGCTAAAGGGAAAGCCCAAGATCAATCCCCCATCACTATACATCGTGTAGCTGAGATCCTCCACAGGGAGGCTATAGTAGACTGTCGTAGGGGTGCCCACCCACAGTGCCGTGAACAGGTCTCCACCCTCAACTACATCAAGTCGGTCAAGGCTAGGAAGAAGGGGATCTCCCCTGCCAGGTATGTAAAACCACCTGGGCAAAAACAATGCTCATGCTACAGGAGCAGGGCGGGAAGGCTGCCTGTTGGGGGAACCAGTGGAGCGGTCTCAGGCCCAAGTGGGGCATAGACGACTAGTAGGGGATGCACAGGGGTGCATGTGCCCTCCCTGACTGGGCCAGTGCTCCCCCGGCAGCTGACACCAACGCTGTCAGCAGGGCTGGTGCTCCCCCTGGCAGGGCTGCCACCGGCGATGGCTTCTGCAGGTGCCCCCCCAGATTCAGGAGGCACCAGTCACTTGTGACGTGGGGCTCATTGCTGGAGCCCCCATGGGGATGCAGGGAGCAAGCTGGGGCCAGCACTGGCTGTTGTGTGACTGCTCTGCTTTCCCTTCCAGCGAGATCAACCGCCTGGACTTGGGGCTGACGGTGGAAGTGTGGAACAAGGGGCTGATCTGGGACACCATGGTGGGCACCGTATGGATCCCCTTGAGGACCATCCGGCAGTCCAATGAGGTAGGTGCACAGTTGCCCCACCTGCTCCCAAGTGCTGGGGAATGTGCCTCGCATCGGACCTTGGGAGCCCAGCCAGGATGTCCCATGAGCCATGGGCACCGGGGCTGGCCAGACACTGGGGCCATGGATGGAAAGGAGGGTCTGATGCAACTCAGGACTCCAGGACTTGGTCCCTGGCTCTGTCGTGGACTTGCTGCTTGTCCTTGGGATATCACTGTCCCCCTTGTGCTTGAGTTGCCCCACTCATCATAGACTTCCTCGGTACCCATGGGGGCAGTGAGGCTTAGCTGTGCCACCCTATGGAGCTAGGCATAGAGGACGGTGGTGGTAATACCCAAAGCAGCAAAGTGCCCCAGGGGGCAGCCCCGTCCTTATGGTTTGGTGGGTTTTCAGACCTGTTGCTCTTTCTCCATGTCAATAGAGGGGGGAGAGGGAGCTTCCCAGCCAAGCCAAGCCCAGCCTGGGGGAGATCAGCTCCATGTGGCCGCTCCCAGTACAGCCCAGGGAGAGGCGATGATCAGCAGAGACCAGCCTCACTCTGCTTCTGCTGCCCAGCCTGGGCGGACTCCCAGGTGGGCAGGATGTCTCTGCCTCTTTCTGGTATTGGCTACCTGGACATGTAGGATTGATGGCCAAGGGAGATGTGGCAGCCGACTCCATCTGCACCTGGGCCTGCCTATTGCCTGGGGCTCACTAAATGGCACTGCCAGCATTGTGCCTGGCCTTGGGGAGCGACCTGCCCTGAGCAAGCCTCTTTGCTGACTGCCGGCGCTCTCCCTGCAGGAGGGCCCCGGGGAATGGCTCACCCTGGACTCCCAGGTCATCATGACCGACAACGAGATCTCTGGAACCAAGGACCCCACCTTCCACCGCATCCTCCTGGACACCCGCTTTGAGCTGCCACTTGGTACGTGCTGCCCTGGATGTACAGATGAGGGGCCCTGGCAGAGCTCAGGGGGTGCCCAAAAGTGGGAATGCAGTGGTGGGAGGGTGGGAGCTGAGGGGCACTGACCGGGTCAGGACGCCAGGCTGGAATAGCAGGGGGCTGCGGCGAGCGTGGAGGGGCCTTGTCACAGAATCCAGTCCTAGGTCGCCCCCTGTCACCATGGGGACATTCCTCTTCCCCCACCGTGCCCTTCTCTTTTCCCTCCCAGGGCTTGGGCTCCCCAGCTCTCCTCCCATCCCTCTTCCCTGGCTCAGGAGCCCTGGGATTCCTCCGCCCTCGGGCCACTACTGCCTGATCACCGTCAATGCAATGGCTCACTGCTCGCTGTGGTGAGGACTGCCACCGCCTGTCATGGCCCATCACCAGCAGCCCACGGGACAGCTGTTCCTTCTCCCATCCCCTGCTTTCCCCTCTCCCTGTCAGGTTTCCTCCAGGGGCTCTCCCTAGGAAGGTGGGCAGGTACCTCTGACTCATCCTCTCCTCCCTGCCTTGCCAACCGCCTCCCATCTTTCCCCCACCTTGCACTTCCCTGGCCCCCAGCTAGGGGCCATGTGCCCCCCACCCCAAAGCTGTGCCCTGCATCTGTGCATCTGGCAACAGCAAGCCCATGTTGAGAGGGAAGGGGGCGAGCTGCAGAGACACTGAGGGCTGATGGCAGAGCCTTTTTTGCCTTCCAGACATCCCCGAGGAGGAGGCCAGGTACTGGGCCAAGAAGCTGGAGCAGCTGAATGCGATGAGGGACCAGGATGATGTAAGTCAGTGCTGGGGCCTGGCTCCCCCTGCCATCGCCCGAGCCTCTGTGCATCTCCTCGGCCAACCCAGCAGCCTCGGGGGGCTTCCCACTGGCCTGGGTGGCACATGCTGCAGTGGCCTCAGGTGGAGGATGGCATGGCTGAGTACGCCTGCCAGAGCTAAAGGAGGGAGATGGGGCAGGAAACAGGAATGTCCCAAGCCCACTGAGAGCCCTTCTGCCCTGCACTGGGCACTGTGCAGCTCCGAGAAGGGAAGGGGCCTGGAAACCCTTCCCTGCTGCTGAGAGGCCCCACTCAGTAGGACCAGGGCAGCCTTGGGGATGGCCATGACCCTCGCTCTCTGTCCTCTCCCCAGTACTCCTTCCAGGAGGAGCAGGAGAAGCCACTCCCCGTGCACGGCTCCCAGTGCTGTAAGTACCAGTCTGCCCCTGCTCACAGCAGGGCCTCAGCCTCCCACTCCCTTCAGCTCCTGCCGAGCTGCGACATGGGCCCCTTATGGCCCCTGAGATGCCTTAACATGGGGGCAGGATGGAGCATGGAGGGGGCCATGGGGGGAGCAGGGGGTAGAGGCTGTGGTGCCCTGGGACAGTGTAACATGCTAGGGCAGGAATCTGCTTGGCCTCGCATAGAGCGGGGCAGGCATGACAGCAAGTTGCACCCCCTGCCCCAGCACCCCAGCTTGGGGTCCCCCCCATCCCACAGCACAGCCCCTGTGTCCCATGCTTGAAACTGGGACAGCTCGAGGCCCTGGGCCCACTCTCTCCAGACTTGCCCACATCTTGCTGCCTTGTAGCCGGCAGCAGTGAAGCATGCCTAGCGTGGCAGGGCTCCTGGGCTGGCACTTTATAATGTTTGGATGCAGGGACTCGACCTGGACTGCTGGCCCTAGTGGGGCATGAGATGTGATTCCCTCTCCTCCAACATGCGTGGTCCCTTCCCTCTCTCCCTCCCCTCCCTCTGCTCCCATTTTCCTCCCTTCGTCTGCCTGTGTTTTCTCTCTCCCTTTGCTTCAGTCCTCTGCCTTGGCAGGGTCCCAGCCTTGGGTCAGTCCTGCAGGGGCAGGGGGAGTGGGGCAGGATGGCAAGTGGGGACAGGCAATGGTTGGGCCGCTGAGGGTGGGAAGGAAGCTGTGTTGCCCAGGCTCTCTGGCTGGAGAGCACGGAGCCCCTGCCAGGTCCTGGAGAAAGGGAGAGTGGGGGCCTGTTTCCCTCTCAAGCTTCTGCTTTGCAGCAGAGAGGCCGGGCAGGTCCCTTCCCTTGCTCGCTGCCTTGGTTTCTCCAGCTGCGGAGCAGAGCCCATAACTGGGCCTTGGAAGGGCTGAGTGCAGAGGGGTGAATCAGGCAAGCCCCTGCCCTACCAGGCCAGGGGCACTGCAGAGCGCTTGGTGTGCCCCACTGTCCGTACCATGCGACAGGAGAGGGGATGCTGTAGCGCGTGCCACACAGCCCATCTGGTGGTGCCCACATGGCTACAACCTGCTGTATTTGGGCCTTCCTCCTACCCCGGGCTTTCCCCTTGGTGGAGGAGACCAGGGGCAGTGTGCAACCTCCTCATCTTCTGCCACAGGGATAAATTAGCCCTTGTGGGCCAAGATCTGTGACCAGCTGAGGGACCTGAATCCGGGACCAGCTCAGGGCTGGAGTTCAACCTACGGTGGCAAGGGCAGCTCCAGGGTGGGTGGGTTAATGGCTGGTCAGGAGCACCTGTGGATACCCCCCCACACACCTCCTGGGGGATACCAAGGCCACACAACTGAACCTGCGCATGTGGCAGGAGCATGGGGAAGACCTGGGGAGAGCAGAGACGGGCCAAGTCCTGAACTGATGAGTCCCCTCCTCAGGCTGACACGGCACAGGCAGGTTGGAAGGTTACCCAGCGCGTCGGCTGCCCTGGTGACACTGGCCGGCAGCCACCAGCGCAGCAGCTCCTTGGTGATGCCAGATCTTCTCTGCAGTTGTTTGGGCTGGAGCCAGATGTGGCCATGACCTGGCTCCACCAATATTTCAGTCCTGCTGCCTGGACCTTTTCTTTCAGCCTCACCAGAACCTCAGACACATCCCCCTTTCCCTCCAGCCCCCTTCCCACATGGACTCCACCTCAGCCCTTTTGCCCCCACCCCCAGCTCACTGCAGCAGGGGCTTAGTCCTCGCCCCCCCACCCAACTCTGTAGCAGTTGAAATGGCAGGTCCCATGTTCCCTGGGTGTGCTATAGAGACAGGCTGGGGCAGCTCTGGGGCTGGATCTGTACCAAGCTTGGGGGGGCAGGACAGGACTGGTCCCTGAGCACCAGTGCAGTGCTGGAGCCTGGGAGCTACATGCCATCGTCTGGGCTGGGAGGGGTGCTTGGGGTTTGTTTCGGGCCTGCTTCTGGAAAGGGACATTTGCTTTTCCCATCTGGGCTCTGACACCTGCTCCCGGAGTCATGTCCGTCTTTATTGTCTCTGCCCCTTTTCTTTGTAGGCAACTGGAATTATTTTGGCTGGGGAGAACAACAGAGTAAGTATCCGCTCTTCTCTCCTACATGGCAGGCAGCGCTCCCTTCTCTACCCCGATCCCTCCAGAGGCCAGCTGTCCCTCCCCACCCAGTGGAGCCCGCCTTCTAGCTCCAACCCTGTGAACAGACTATAGTTAATGCAGACAAGCCCTCGAGGGTTACAGGGTGGCACAGGGTGGCTCTGGGCTTTCATCTCACCTCTGGCTTTCCTATACTTCACCGAGCACTGCAAGACATGCCAGCTAGAGACAGGTGGCAGCCTCTGCTGGTACACAGGACCATCTGCAAAGCCCTGCTCCTTCTGGGGTAGAAGGAGGACACGACCCCAGGGAAGGAAGCAGGGCTGGGGAGGAGAACAGTGTGCTGATGGCACTGTAATATTTTGGTCAGTGGGTAGGGGATGGTCCCAGTGTGCAGGGTGGGTGCTTTAATCAGGTGCCCGCAGGGTTCACTGGTTGTGACGCAAGGCTCTGTGCTTTTCTGCCAGTTGCCCCAGGCTCAGGAGGCTGCCTGTCTGTGGCAAGAGATTACTGGGAGAATGTCAGCATCCTAAGGACCCCTCACCATGTCCCCTTCCTCTTCCCCTTCCCCCGACCCCTTATGTATAATCCCATTTCCCTCCTCCCCTCCTCACCCCCTATGATGTGGTTACCCCTACAGTCTGCCCTCTGGGCTAAGGAATCCCTTTGGGCTCCATTGCTTGCTGGGGGCAGGGCCTGTGGTTTGAAGTGGTGTGAGAGCATGGTATGGCGGGTTATTGCCTCTGGGGCCTCAACCCCAGGGTTTAAATCTTGGGTGGGAGCAGGCCAGGAGCTCCCAGCTCCTGGGAGAGGTTATATCCCCAAACCGTTTCGCAGCTGCCAGCCTGACGTTTGCTACTAGAAGGAGCTTGGGGAAGTGGAGGGAAGGGGCAGGTTGAAGGGGATGCCTACACATTTGGTCATCTCAGATCAATGCTCTAAACCCACCCCTGGACTGGGCCCCCAGATCACTCTGCAGCTCCCTCCCCACACCAGCTTGCAAACATGTGGCCTTGGTGATGCCCATCACAGTCCAGGTGCTGTGGGGACTTTGCACATCCCCAAACAGCCCCAAGCAACCAAAGGGGCCATCATCCTGTCAGGGGACAGATAGCAGCCCTACCTCAGACAGGAAGCTGGCAGGCACCCACATGCCGGGACCTGACCTCTGCCAAAGGTCCCTGCCCAGGAGGTGGCCTGAGCCTGGCTAAGGGAGCAGTGGGCATGCTGGTGCTGAGGAGCCTTGCTAGAACCAGTGCAATGAGTTTCTGGGAGCACTAACACTCGCCCAAAGCACACCAACCCAACACATGCGCAGGGCTAGCAGGGCACAGTTCTTGGGCACCCACAGCTCCCACAGGCACCCACACCAACTGGGCCCACAATTCTGCCAAAGGGCCTTTCTAGACTCCTTCTCTTAAGACTGAGTCTCACTCGGGTGTTGGCTGTGAAGAAGTGGCACAGTTCTAGCTGATGCACATGGCAGCAAGGGCCAAGGCCGTCGGGCTAACTGAAACATAGACGTGGGAGCTGGTATTGCCTCAACTGCTGAGCACAGCTGTTGTGGGGCTCGGTGGTCCCATCCCGTGTGAAATGCTCCTGTCCAACTCACTGGTGGCAACTGGCCCTTTGCAGATGACGACCCTGACAGCACCGTGGATGACCGGGACAGCGACTACCGAAGTGAGACCAGCAATAGCATCCCACCTCCCTATTACACCACCTCCCAGCCCAATGCCTCGGTCCACCAGTATCCCATGAGGCACCAGCAGCAGAGCTCCCGGGACTCGTACACGGATTCCATGCAGAGCTACGAGATGGACTATTCGGATCAGCGGCCCATCAGGTAGAGACGGGAAGAGATTGCTCCACCCCTTTAAAAGCAGAAGCGGCTGGTAGGAAGCCACAGCCCCCTCCGGGGAGAGGTTAGGCTAGTACCTGGTGACCTGCAAGAGGCACCTTGAGAGATGGGTACGGTCTAGAGGGGTGGCAAAGCTAGACCCTCCTGCAGATACAGCTTTAGTGACCGATACAGATGGGGCTGGTCCACAGTGGTGCCACATCCTAGCATGCTGGCTGATCCCAGCTAGCTCCTCCAGCACCTTAGCTTTCTTTAAATGCATCAGGGGAAACCTTTCTGTCCCTGACCCTACTGCTGTGCAGTCTGCAAAGGAGCAGGGACTCCCTGCCTCCCTCTGGGGAGGGTGTTTTAGTGATGCCTGGTGACAGTGGCAGCAGAGATATTCTCCCCTTTTTGCTGCTGCCGAGTCTGCAATGCTGGGGCCCTGGAGGGAGCTTGGGACGGTGGGGGTAGTTTGGAAGTGTAGGAGGGGCCTAAGTGAACACTACTTCCACCCCCACCCCCCAGCCTTTAACCTCCACTATTGTGAGATTTCCAAAGAACAAGGAACAGCCCTTTGGGAGAGGAAGGTATGAGCTGAACCCCAGGGGCACTCGGCACGTGTCGATCAGGGGTGGCCAGGGGGGGCGCTGATCGGCATGTAGGAGCCTGGCAGAGGTGTGAGAGGGGCAGGGCCAGGGGCTGGAGCAGCGGAGGATGCTGCAGGGCAGGAGAAAAGTGGCAGGTCTGTCAGGAGGAGCTGGCTCAGCGCCTGCCTCCCTTGCACCTGATCTCAGTGATTTCAGACCATCCTGGCTTTTTCATGAGAGTTCAGATCCAAGTGATGTATCCCCCACGTCAGAGAAGTCTCCGACTGGGAGCATCCTCCCAGATTCGGTCACGAACCCAAGCTGAGGTCTGACCTGGCCACATCCTTGCTCTGCCCAGATGGGATCCTCACCCCCCAGCTGCTTTGGCATGGGGGCGGACACTGGGGGGAGGGGGGGCAGCACCGAGGAGAGGAGTGGCGGCTGCGTGGCCACGGCAGGAGCTTGTGTCTGTGGTTGCGTGTTTGGTTGTTGGTGACCTTTGCTGACCGTGTTCCTCTCCTCCCTGGCAGACGCTACGATAGCGTAGATTCTGCCACAAACGGGCGCAGCGACGCTGAGTCCGCTTCCGAGTCAAGCAGGCGGACCAGCCGCCAGTACTCCCTTGAGAGCAGGCGGTCCCTAGACCTATCTGATAGGTGGGTCTCTACCTTGTCTCTAGCCTTGTGCCTTATGCAGAGTGCTGTGGTTGGTCCTTGCAGCCTGGGTTAGGCCGATACCAGTCCTGGCAATGGCAGCCCAACACAGTCCCCGGCATCAACAAAGCCCCCCCACCGTACCCCCGTACCACCACCACCATGTACCAAATTCATGGGACAACATGTGACCTTGGAGGTGACCGGTGCAGTCCGCATTGCACACATGTCCAGCCACAGCAAGAGATGCCTCTCTAGGGAGTCACCTGCCTCGTGTGTGCTCCTGACCTACGCCGGCACCTGCCCCACTGCGGAGACATTTTCTGAAGGACTCTAACTCAGGCAGGGACCCCCGGGCAGCAAAGCACATGTCCCAGGAGACCCCAGTGTGGAAGGCAGCGAGAACCTGAGACGGGTTTAAGGTGCAGCTGGCTGAGGTTGGACCCAAAGCCACTTGACTTTGTCTCCTCCGGCCCCCAGTTGCTCCTTGAACCATCCCCTCATCCTCTGTCCACTCTAGTTTGCAGCCCCTCTCTTGGGCATCTTATTGCCCGCTTAGGCCGTTCCATGCTGTTCAGCCTAAGATGTCTCGGTTCAATCACCAGAGCATCCAAGCCCCAATCCTAGCACAGTACAGTGTAGAGAGGATAGTCCTTAAGGAGCGGGGTCACTCAGCCTATCCACAGTCTCCCCTTTCACTCCAGGCCAGGGCTGGAGCACAACCTGGGCTGGGAGAAGGGCAGGACACTTGTGCGAGGTGTGGTGCGAGGGCCGCGGATGCTCTTGGGGCTTGGGTCTTCCGCAAGACCCCCGGACCAGGCGAGAATCCCCTAGTGAAATGTGGCCTCCGATGGCAGAACTAATTTCAGCCCCAGCTTTAGGGCTGCTGCCAATTCCCCTGTCTCACATATGTGCTTGGAGCAGCAAGGGGCCAGGCCTCATAGAGAAGCTAGTCGTGAGACCATGCAGTGCATTCGAGGGCAGTGGGGCTTGCTGGGGGAAGCAGAGGTCTGGTCCTCAGCTTGGGGTTACAGCGTGAGGTCTGAGGCACTTGGTCCATGCTCTTGTACATTAGGCCAGCCCTTTAAATTCTCTCTGGGGCCGAGCTTGCAGGAGGGTGACACTGGGACCCGGAAGAGTCCAGGGCTGAGACCTCACTTAAGTGGTGCTGGGAGAGCTCAGTCCTCTCTCCATCTGCCCTTCAATCTCTGCCAAAATCTGGTTGCATCCCCTCCCTGACGGGTCCAGCCTCTGCCCAGCTTGCACAGTCTCCCCACTGCTTCTCTCCTTGAGCTGCCCAGAGTCTCCCAGGTGCGGCAACCTGGCCCTCCCACCAGCTTCCCGCAGGGATGGCACAGCCACATCCAGGCATGGGGCTCAGCCCGAGGGGATCTTGTGTGTGCCTGCGTGTGCCCCTAAATCCCGCCCCCCCCCCCTTGCTGCTGGTGCTGGAGACGTGGTATCGGCCTACCCCCAGGGGTGTCCCTGTACTATGTCTGCATGCGCGCTTACTGTGAACCCTCAGCTCGGAGACACCACCACCATCGCTGCGGTGCTCAGAGAATGGCACCCAGTTTTGTTTCTCCTCGTTTCCAGTGTTTGATTTGACAAGGAAACCCCTTTGCCCCGGCCCCTCCCCTGCCCCCCAATCTCCCCCCATTGGAGTCCTGCAACGTTCCCGTCCCTGAGCCCCAGTCTCAGTCTGTCATGAGTGGCCCTTGGGCCCATGTGTGTTATGGGTGCACAGGTGCGGGTGTAGGGGAAGGGGTGTGGCTGATGGAGGAGATGCAGGGGAAAGGACAGCATGAGGCAGGGTGGAGAAGACCTGCATGGGGAGAAAGAGGGGAATGGGGGGCTGTGAGGGCAGGAGGGATGGATGGAGAGGAAGGGATTTGGGAGGGCAGGAGAACCGCCTGCAGGCATTTGATGGGCAGAGGAGGGAGGAGCTGGGAGGGACAGAGGTGATGGAGGATGGGAAGGAGCATGGCCACAAGTGTCACTTGTGCGAGGGGGATGTGGCTAAAAGAAGTGCCCCCAGGGCTGGGAGGAGGACAGGCAGGGGGTATGGAGAGGTGGGAGCAGCAGGGAGGCACACATGGGACTGGGTGAGGAGTATGGGAGGAGTGCCCATGTCAGAAGGGGCATCTCCACAGTTGGGTTCAGGGTGCAGCTGCTCTGCAGCCATTGCTGGGCGGTGTCACTGCTGATCACCCAGAGACTCCTGGTCTGTGCTGCCAGCTGAGGAGTGGCTAGGGTTGGGCAAAAGGGGCCCTCTCCAAGGACCCGCTGGTGCAGGGGAAGCCTGGCCCCCAGCCTCTGGTTGCTAGTAGCTGATCCCTACACAGCATTATTCCCTGGGGACTGCGGGAACCACGTGTCCGTGCCAAGGTACCCCAGGGAACCTCTGCTTTGGCTGCTGTGTGATCTGGAGAGTCTGAGCTGTCCTGACCTACCTCTAATCACCGTGCACCCTAGGGCTGCCCTGGCTTAACTCCCTGTTCGCTCCACCCAGCTGTGGGGGGCAGGATTAAGGACATAGCAGCAGTATCCCAGGAGTCATTTAAGGCACCTGGTGCTGCGGTGCTGGGCTGCAAAGCTATGAAGCTTCCCCCTCTGGCCCCGTGTGCCTGCACTACCCACTGCCTGACTGGGGGTACCAGGGGCAGCACTCTTGGACTGCTTCCCAGCATCAGACAGCACTACATGGAGGTGAGGTTCCCAGGAGCCTAGGACCAGAGGCGTGAGGTCTTCCTCAGGGTGAAGCTGGCCAGACAGGGAGAGGTGCTGGCTGTGACTCAAAGGCCCTTTTAAGCCTCTGTCTTTCTCTCCCCTCCAACCCAACCCCTACCTGCCCCATGCAGCCCCACTGGGAGCAGCCGCTACGCCTCCTCTGGGGAGCTGAGCCAAGGGAGCTCCCAGCTCAGTGACGACTTCGACCCCGACGAGAGCCTGCGGGGCTCAGAGATCGACGAGCGGGATGGGGACTCCTACCACTCCTGCCACAGCTCGGTCAGCTACCACAAGGACTCACCCCGCTGGGAGGAGGAAGACGATGACCTCTACTTGGAAGAAGAGGACGAGTTCAATGAGGACTACAGCGAGAATGAGGAGGACTACCCCAAGGCCGAGGAAGGCAAGCTGCAGGGCCGTGAGGCGTACGAGTCCGAGCCCTTGGAACGAGAGCCCTACCAGCAGCAGAAGCAGCCGGGGCAGCTGCAGCAGCAACAGCAGGAGTCGCTGCAACAGAAGCCGCAGCTGCAGCAACAGGTCCCGCCACAGAAGCAGCAACAGGCGCCGCAGCAAGCGCAGCTACAGGTGCAGCAGGTGCAAGGGCAGCAGCAGGTGCAGCAGGAGAGGAAAGAGGAGAAGGCAGGTTATGCCCTAGAGGAGACTCCAGACGTCCCCCAGGAAAAGCTGGCAGAGGAGCAGCCCCCAGTCCCAGAGAAGGGACAAGAGCCTGAGCCCCCCAAACCAGAAGAGAGGTGAGGAGGAGAGGTGGGTGGCTGCTGGGAGGTGGAGGAGTGGAGCAGGTCTCCGTGCTGCCTGCTATCGTGCTGAGCCAGGCAGCTAGGCCCGGGTGGGGTGAGCTGTGTGCTGGTCTGCCCTGGTTGATTGAGCTGTAACTTGGAGTCCTTACTGGCTTGGGACTCTGGCTGGAGCCAGCTGTCCAGTCCCAGTGTCTCTTAAATGTGTGCTGCCCCAAGGCCACGAGCCGTAGCTCAGTGTACCAGCATGCACTAGGCCCACCTCCCTAACGCTCCTGGGGACATGGCTCAGTCCGGTGATTGCCCGCACAGGCTGCTCCAGCGTCCTGTGGCTAGCGGCAGGATCCTGTGGCTGGTGTGGACATAGCATGGCTCTGCCCAGCTAGGCTGTTTGGGAGGAAGCGTCTAGTTCGGGGCCAGACTGGTGTCCCACTGAGGTGTGAGCTGCGCTCAGCTCAGCTCCTCTGTGTTGTGTGCGATGCAACCAGGCTGGCCGGCGTGTCAGGCCCCCTGCCCTGAGCAGTAGCATGGGGACACTCAACCAGTCCCATTGTGGGAGAAGCAGTGAGCACAAGGCCAGAGTTATCCTATATAACTATGGGAGGATCATGAAAACCCACCAGAGTCAAGTGGGAAGAGTCCTGGCTTTGCCTATGCTGCAGTTGGCCATGTGACTCATTGCCTGTGGGCATATGTGGGGGTTAATTGCAGCAGGGTTGGGTGAGGGTGGTTGCTAAAGACACAGTGGCACTAGCTTCGGTGAGGGTGAGTTAGTAGCTCATACTGAAGTTTTTGCAACCAGATCTTCACCACTTGTTTTGCCCAAGCTGGCTAGGTTGAAGTTAGCTGAGTAAAGCTGCTGCTGCACTCACAGTCCTTGCCTTCAGTGGAGACGTTGCCTCGGTCTTGCACGTGATACGAGGCCTTTAAGATTATACTTCCCTCCAAGCCCTCCAGAAAGGCTGCAGGGCCTGAGAATAAACCCTGAGCTGATGCCTGGGTGCCTCATGCCCTTATGCAGAGCTCGGCCTGGTGCGAGTTACATTGTCCACCCTCACTGGAAAGGGGCCTCTGATCCTGATTAGCATCTAAAGTCGGTTGGGGAATAGAGCATCCGCTACTGGACCGCTCCTCCAACAAAAACCTGGTAGGTGGGGGTGGGTAAGAGTTAAGGGGCTCTCACCGAGCCTGCTGGCATTTCTGCTAGCTGGGTAATGACTCCTTTTGGGTTGGGATGGAACGGGATGTCCTTGGTTTGCCCTATACATAGGTCCAGCAGGCAGGTTATGTGCCCGGGGGCCAAAGAAGAGTTTTTGGAAGCAGTTACCGTGCTCAGCCCCACTGCAAAACCTTTCCATTCCATGGAGGTCCCTAGCGACCGATGGCATAGCTGAACAGCCACCAAATTGTGGCCTTCGTTTTCTTTTTCTAAATGCCTGTATGATTTTTAGCCTGAGGACATTCTTTTCAGCCATTCACCCTTCACAAAGAGCCCACGTGGTTTCTAACCAGGCTCCAGAGCATGTAGTTTAATTCACCAGCCTGCGGTCACACAGAGTGAAGTCTCATGAACGGGAGCAGAGTTTGACTGGAGGGTGCACGTTACACCTGGATGGTGTAGTCTGTAATAGAGAGGGGGAAAGAAAACTTTCTGCAAGACAGTGACCTTTCCGGGCTGTTGATAAGAGCCCATCCATAGCCTCCCAAATTAGAGATTATTCGGCAGCTCCATCCTGGTACAACATGTGACTAATGCACAAACATCAGTCTCTGCTTTTAATTATTGAACACATCTACTTTTCTATGGTTCAGTGAGCACAAACGCTCCCAAATGGAGGGGGAGCAGTGGTGGGCGTCTTTTGGTTTCTTATTTTGTTTAAATTATAGGCCAGACTTTGCAAACCTCTGATTTACAAGAACACACACGGACGAGGTTTGGGGAACATGTTAAACAATTTTAAATTTACGTATTTACAAAGGGGTTGAGGGTGACAGGAGTCTTGGAGGGGTGGCCTCATTTTGCATTTTCTCTGCAACATGCTTGTAAAATGTGCATTGCTTGCTCTCGCCCCCTCCAGCGGCTCCTCCATGTAAAAGATAACAGCCTGTTAATGCTGCCTAAACCTGGTAGATTTATTCCTTCATGTCACATGAGAGTGGCCTGTTCTCTGGTGCTGGTGGCTATGGCATCAACCCCTGCTAAGGACCTATCAGGAGTTGTTTCTAATCAGATTACTTTAGAGGGGATAAGCTTCAGATAGAAATCTTTCCGGGCCTTTTCTTATAAAGATCAGCAAAGCAGACGCCTGGTACTGATCTTCGGTTAGGGTTAAACCAAATGCTTTGTGAGGCTGAAGGTCTGTTGGGTTATTTTTTTTCTTTCCCGCTGGCTACTCTTCTGGGCATTGCATCATGGCCTGGTTTTGCCGGAGACCAGAAGCAAAAGTATAGAAATGCTGTGTCTACACTAGCCATTTTCCTGACCCAAGTCCTGGCCTAATGAGTAGCTAAAAGAAGTTGTTATCTTTTAATCATGCTGCTGTGAGATTTCCTGCCTGGCAGGAAAACTCCCTGACTCATGTTGGGCTTGGCTTGCGTTTTCTTTTCTACCCTTTAATTTTTGAAGAAGGGGCTTTGCCACCCCCACATCTGATGAAGGGCAATACCTTCATAACCCAGTAAATCCCCCTTCTTCCAGCATAATCAGGATGGGGGTGGC